AAAGGCATAATCATTATTCCCCTGTTTCCTTGAGTTATTTCAGTAAAATAGGCACAAAAAAAACGTAAAACATGCCCCCCAAACTGACCTTGGTGGAAAAGCGCTGAAAAAAAAGACTGACATGCAAACAGACGCACACAAAAACAGCCAGGTTCCCTCTTCAGCCATCTGCACAGCTGTTCAGCCAGTGCCACTTCCATCTACCTATTCAACCTGCACAAAAAGAGTCCTGTAATGGGAGGCCAGGTACATACAAAAGAGAAGTGCGTGGCAAGCAAGAAATTGAATGTCAAGGAGCCTTGTTTGGTCCTGATGGGGGTTTGAGGGTAAGCCTTAAAGGGAGGGAAGAGGAATAATACAGATACAGGGACGCCATGTGACAGACGGAGCCGAAAACTAATAACACACAAAGAGTGTGAGCAAAATGTTGGAGGGGATCTGCGGTTTGAGATGGCCTCTTCTAGCCGCAGCTAATTTCTGGCGGAAAAATGACAGAAAGAGAGAGAAAGATTGAGAGATAAGAAAATGTGACTTTTCTAAAGAAAGGAGCAGGAATCCTTGTGGGTGTGAGGGCGCCTGGTTTCCACAGCTGGCTCTATTTAATCAGAGGGATGCAGGTCTGGATGACTGACTGACATACTTCCATCTCCTCATTTTCACAGAGGAATGCTCGCAAAACATCACAGGAGGAAGGGACAGAAACTGGCATTCATGAAACACTGATAAGCAGCACATAAAGCCGGGGAGAGATGCAGCTTCTGTGCACAGAGCAGAAAAAACAAGGAGACAGATGGAAGGACAAAGAAACAGAGGGCAGAAGACAGAAGTTCAGAGGAGAGAGAAAAGGGAATGTGAGAGAGAGTCCAACGCTGCGTCCCGAGTACTCGCCACAAAAAAACAAACAAGTGCTGAAGAGCGAATTGAAAGTGAAGCCAAAGAGCCTGGTCAATGTGTTTCGGTATAAATAGCCCAATTAGTATTGCAGAGACGTCGTTGGGTTCTGAGATGCAGCGTGGCAGAGCCGGTCTAATTACTGGCTAACTTGACCAATTATTCCAGTGTTTAACCAGGCAGAAAGCAAATCGCAGCACCTGGTTATTTAGAAACACCGGCTGCCCTGTCAGGCTTCACGCTCTCAGCTGTCATCTCCAGTCACTGTCAACGTCTTCCTCCTCAAAACACTTTACGACTTCACACGCTGCGCCCCGCTTTTAAGGTTGCTCCCTTAATATAGTCTCATGTTGTGATTTTCTTATTTCAAAATAAATGTACACATGCATTTATACCTGTTTTGCATTGATGTTGCATCAGAAGTTGGTTAGGGAAAAAAAATTACCATTAGGACTATTTTAACTTCAGTCATTTTATTCTTATGAAGTATTTCTACTCTGACTTGAGTAAAATTTCTGGATTTTCTACCAACTGAATGAAGAACAAACATTTTACCAAAGGATTCACCAGACACAGCTGCAGTTTTTGTTACAGTTTTGAATGTTTTCTGTCAAAAGAAACTGATGTGGAAAATTTGTCTTTTTTCTGTTTTTTTTTTTTTTTGTTGTTTTTTTTTTTGCATTTTCTGTTTGTTTAAGGAAAATTATGCTAACTATGAGCTTTAGCCAAGTTCTCATTTTCTTTTAACAATGAATGAATTAATTCAAAGAAAAGAACTACAAAAATCACAGAAATTTCAGAAGTTTGATGATATATCAAACTTAAATGAAAAATATTGCCAATACTGGCTCTGATATTGGCATTAAGTCAACAACAGAAAACCTAATCTTTGGTTTTTGGCAGGTTCTTGTTAAACTCTTTGCCCACTACATTTCACCATCCTCCGTTTCTTCCAATAGTTCTAATTTTGGTTGATCAATGAGAATCTTATCTCCAGGTTTCCCACTGATGCTCATTATAAAAAGCTCTGCTCTATTTGAAGAGGCTGACATTTCCAAGAACTTTAATAACATCATAATGAACAAACCTATCGTTACTCTGATTTTGATTTGCTGCCTGGAACATAAAAATATATCTACAACTTACAGCAACACAGCCGGCAGTGATGAAGATATGAAAGCGTTGGGCTAATCAATCCGCAGACTGAATAACTGACTGGGTTTTATTTATTACCCAGGAGTTTTCAACGCTGATAATCATAATGACAAAAACACTTTCTGTATACAACCCTAGGTAAAGAATAACAGTAATGAAGAATCATCGCCGTTGTATCATCACAATCATCATTTGTTTTGGTAATTAAGTTCCCAAGATAAGTACTTGCTAAAGCAGTTGCCTTGCAGTCAGGTCCTCAGACATCGAGATGGATCTGTCGTAAGCTGCCGCTGAAGCCTCCAGGCAACGCAGAGTTAATATTGAGCTTTAGCAACCCGATGATTTATTCATAATACATCAATCTTTTTCTGCTTGTTTATCTGCTTGTTTATGGATTTACAGTGTTTCACCAGGCGTGAAATAGTTTGAAAAGGGAGAGAGAGAGAAAAAAATCTAATAAAATTCATTAAGTTATGAAACAGTTCTTGTTTTTATTGTTTGTTTGTTTCTTTGTTTTAACTTCCAAGTCTCATCCAGAGCGTTGGCAAACGTCGCCGATTCAAACAGACACTTCAGACACTTGGAGGGAAGCGTTCAAACACTCACCTCATCAAACGGCACACACTGATCTGACTCGCTGCGATTCGCCGCAGCAGCATGACTGGCACTGCAAATCACACGTCCTAATTTCCCATTAGTCTCATTTTACACGCAACATATCATTTTCCTTCAACAATCACCACCTGTTTGATTGAGATATGGCTTTGCGACATAGAGCCAATTATTTTTGCCTAAATTCATTAACTTTGAGTCGTTTTTCAAAGTAATTATTAAAGTGACAAAAAACAGGGAGGAAAATAATCGGCGTCCAATCCCGCAGGCCGAGCCAGAAACTTTCAGAAATGGCTGCCAGCGTCGGTAAAGAGCGGCTGCCAGAATCCAGACTCTGTATAATTGTTTCTAACCAGAGAAATGAGGTCATGAATAATGATGCTCCAAACTTCAAGAGAAAAATAAAACTTAGCGACGTCGCAAAAGTGGAAAAAAAATATGTAAAATTGTGTCGTCTTCGATCTAGACGGCCAATTAGTTAGCAACTAAATCTGGTAGGATTAAAACAACAATCAACGCTTTGATCAACATACAAAATGGTGAAACTCTACCGCTACACTGCAAAAAATCAAAATCTTACAAAGAATTTCTCGTAGAAATATCTTAAAAAACCTGAAATATGACAAAAGTAACTTACATGGAGCTTTTCACTTGTTTTAAGTGAATGATTGTTTAATATTAATGAAAAAGTATTTTACTTGTAACAAGTGAAACATTCTGACGTTGGAGCTGGTGGTTTTTAATCAATATTAAGGAATTATTGACTTTAAAAAAAACTCATATCTTGCTGAAAAGTTATTTAAATAGTTTCGCTTTGTTTCTAGTTTTCTAAGATTTTAATGTTTTGCAGTGTAATGGTAATGTTCCACCATTTTGTATGTTGATGAAAAAGTTACATTTTCATCTTATCCTGTTATTGCTAATAAAACAGGTTGTTAACTGATTAGATGCTTCTATCTAAATATCAACCTGAACAATTGATTTCTATCATGAAACATGGTGGTGGCTGGATGATGCTGTGGGGGTCATAGGAAGAAAGTAGAAGGTTAAAGAAAATTATTAGGTGATACAAAAAAATCTTAAGATTGGGGTGAAGTTTCACCTTTACATGACAACAAACCGACCTTTTAGGGTATGAATACTTTTTTTTTAAGCCACATGACTGAAATACAAAGGAATAATCATGACACAAACATACATTTTTCACTGCGCATTGGACTCAATCATACCGGGAAATAATCAGAACAGAGGCTGTTCTCTGAATGCATTTTAAATTACACATTTGCAAGGTCAGGTCATTTGCAGTATCTGAGGAAAGGTTGAGAGCAGCTTCTCATCTGATGAAAAGTATCATTGAAATCATTTTATGATTCATTCGATTCAGAATATAAACTGCTGGACCACTCTGCACCTGCTTTAGCCCACAGCCACTGCTTCATGGTTTTAAATGTATTCCATTCTCTTCTAATTATAATAACACAGGGCTCCCAATGTCTAAATGAAATTGCTATTTGAACGTTCGTATTAGGCCGGCTTGGCTGCATAGTGCAACATTAAGGCAACAATATAACTTAAATGAGCTGAAAGTAAGGTTGAACATATTTTAAAGTGCTCTACAAAAGTTTTCAATAGTCGTTTAAAACTTTGCGTATTGTTGTTCAGCTTAAACTGAACTAATAAAATGGAAACGTGTTGCGTTTAACATCGGTACACTGCAAAAACAATCTAAATCTTACCAAGTATTCATGTCAAGTTTCTAGTGGAAATATCTTAGAAAACATGAAATAAGACAAAACTAACTTTTCAGCAAGATTTAGGAGTTGCTGGATTGATGTTAACCACCAACTTGATTTTGTCTTTTGTTAAAATAAATACAGTGAACTTGATGGTCAACCTCCTTTACGTTTGTGTGTTACTGATCTGGTAAACATCATGCAGTGCAGCGTCATCGTAATAAAAATAAATGAAACTGATCCTCTCACTTGGAAAAAATGTCAAAGAATAATGAAGTTACCAGTAACTGCAGTATTTTCATCAAAACCACATTAATGCACCATCAAACATGCACACAGGCTCATTTCATCTCAGCAGCTTAATAGATCTGTGATCTTTAAACTTGTCGCTTGAACCCCGGAGCACAAAACCCATCAGCAGCTTTTTATAATGCACGACTCGCCCTCGTCTCACCCGGCTCTGCAGCCGGCAAGAGTAAACAGGCTCCATGTCACGGAGCTACTCCGCAGCTTTCTCCCTTTGCTATTCCTTCCCACTGCACAGGCTTTGATCCTGTTGCTAACACAATTTAAATCATCACAAGCAATGACAGGATGTTTGAGCTCGGAAACATCTGGATACAGGAACGCTGGGATCATCATCATTAACCACTGAAATTGAGCAGTTCAGTTGTTCTGATGTAAGATTTGTGATTGGTAAGCTTCTTAGATGACCTAAAACATATTAGTTGTTTCTTATCACATAAATAGCAGCTAAAATGCTTTAGAGGTTTGGACAGTATGGCTGAAATAATGTATCAGCATTTTATATCAGTCGATGTCAGTAACTGTTGATTATTGTTTTGCTTTAAATATCTAAAATATTGTTATGAGGCGCAGTGACGAAATCTGAAACTGCTGCTGCGCAAGTTACTCAACACGGTGTTGCTAGGTAACCACAAGTTGCTTAGTTACCTAGAATATCCTATATGTAAACCAGGACAATTAGCTCTAAAGTAGCCGTTTCTAATCACATAAATCTTTGCTAAAATGCTTTGCAGCGGTGAACAACATGGCTGAAAAACGCATCGCTATATAAGCACTTCCTATGAGTAAGTATCAACAATAGTTATTCGTTTTTTGTTTTAAATGTCTAAAACTGTAAAGGAAACACAACAGGATGTTACTACAGGCAGAAACGACAAAGAAGACAACAAAAAGTTGTAGGAGGATTATGGTCAAGCATGTTTTTTAATGACATATTGTGTTAACACATTCACATGTGGTTTTAATGGCGTAACGTATTTAAAGGAATCATCAAATAGTGTCTTTTCTATATTCGTGGAATAGCGACAAAGTTTTGAGAAATGCAGATTTTATTTTCCATTTATTTTACAGCTGCACAAATTGGAATTCCAAAAATACATTTGCTTAATGAAAACATGGCCATTTAAAAAACAAAAGCATTCATAACACTGCAATTAATAATAGCTTAATAAATTAACTTATTATTAACAAATTAGCATAAATAGTTCAAACTAATTTTGAACATTTCTGTGTTAGATCAAAAGGTTTATGTCACAAAACTGGCATGGAAACACTTTTGCATCAAGAATCATGTCAACACCTGATCTTACTACTGCAGAAACGACAAATATGACAACAGGAAGTGGTAGGAGGATAATGGCGCGACCATGTTTTTAAATGACTTATTGTGTTAACATATTCACATGTGATTTTAAATGTTTTTTTTTATTTAATTGTGTGCACATTTGCGATGGAATCACAGATTTTGATGTGCAATACTTTGATAACTCAGCAGCGGGCTCCGTGGACTCGTCGCTCCGTGGACAGCACAGAGGTGTTTGAGGGAATCTGCGAGACAGAGGCAAATTTCATGCATGATTTGAAGCCAAACTGCTGAACGAGTGTCGTGGTTTCAGCACTGATTCACAGCCAAGTGTGTTGTGCCTGGACAGCTTTTGTTCCAATGAATATACATGCAGACACAGACGTTCAGCAGGATCACAACCAGCAGCGCTCGTGATCCTCTGCATGTTGACTGTGAGTAAAACCCACTGGGCTTTCCTACTTTTATTTATTTATTTCTTGTAAAACATTTTTTTTTCACTTCCAAAAGAACAGAAAGAGAAATAGCTTTAGGAGTCATGAACAATCTAGTGCTTTAAGGAAAGGTTTGCTGAATGAATACAAACACATCAGCCAGTGTGTCAGAAACCTATTATAGTAAACATAACAGAGAAAAATCAAAGTATTTTTTTCCTTACACATTGTTGCCCTCAATCAGCTTCTTTGATCCAATTCATTTTACGCAAATTTCGTCTGTTCACACAAACAAAATACTGCAATTTATTTCTTTTTATGTCCCAGTAATAAAACAATAAAATGAACACTATTCAACAAACACACATCTTCACATGCAGATTTTACGATACCCAAACATGGTTTCTACCTCTTGGCTTTTCCTTAAACAAACTAAAGTCAACATGCTCTCCTCTCGCCTGTGTTTCTTTCCACCTCTGCCTCTTTATTTGGCTCAGAAAGCTGTGTGTGTGTTGCTCAGTGTGCAGGGAGAGAGCAGCTGGAGCATCTGCAGTTGTCTCCTCTGACAGCAGCACAGCATATGGCAGAGCCCGGTGAAGGATGGGTGCTGTCACCCGGCAAAGTGCTTACCCACCGACAGGAGAGGCGAGCCGCGCTAACACCATGAGGAGAAGGAAGAAACAGCTGAACATCAGCACCCGACTCATTTATTCTCCTCCCACCGCCTCGTTCTAGGAGGGACAGGCTGGAGGAAAGGACTTCCAAACAGGTAGCAAAAGTTTCCCTGGAAATCGCACCAGGAAATGATTGAGAGAGGAAGAAAACAAACGTACGCTGCAAAAACAATAAAATCCTAACAAGGATTTTTGTCTAGTTTCTGCTGAAAATATCTTCTTACACTTGAAATGATACAAAACTAACTTAGAAGTAACTTTTCAGCCAGTTATAGTAGCTTTTCAGTAGATTTTGTTTCCTTCTCACTTAATTAATGGATAATAAACAGTTATAACGATTTATAAAGTTTCTAGAGATTATGTAATAACATATCTATTAACTGTTATTAATTGGAGCCTTATTGTAAAATGGCACCAATATTTTATAATTATTTTTCTTTTGGGAGTAACTGCAGTTTGTTGGTGCTCTTACCTGATGATGAAATGTTACAAATAACTTATTTTTATCATCATAAAGGCTCGTTTTACTGGTATTTTGCATCCACAAGCTGTAGTTATGCAAAGCCAGATGCTAACTGACAAAAATTCACTTAATATTGATCAATTTCTGTCTGGAATTTGAATTTGCAGAAAAATTTAGAGCTTTACTCCAAAAAACACAAGATCTTAAGTATTTTTGGTTTATTTTCTACTACAAATATACTTTAAATAAGGCAAAACTGACTTACAAGTAACTTTTCAGCAAGATATTGGAGCTAGTTTTAGGTCAATAATTAATATTGATGAAAAAACACTAGTCATAAAATCTGTGGGTGGAAGAAAACATTTTCTTATACAATAAGTGGAAAATGTGTTGTACCACTGGCAGTGAGGACAATATTTCTGATATAATTTAACTCCTTTCCAGAATCACCGCAAAGCATTCTGGGGGATGTAGGCAGCTAATGTAACCAATGCCAGCTAATGTAGCACCTTTAATGGCAGCCATCGTCTCATTAAACCTTTTCTCAAAAGGCGGCATCAACTCACTCGCTGGCTCTTTGGTTACCTAGCAACGGCTCATTAATTCTTTGGTTGCCTAGCAACAACCAGTTGACTCGCTTGCGCTGCAGCAGTTTAAAGTTTCCCCAACTTGCTCCGTAACGACTCAGAAATGGGGATGAAAACTGTGGTTGAAACAGGAAAGGTCGCGGGTTTGGCTGTGTTCAAGATATTTGAAACAAAACCAAAAAAAGTTTAGCGGAATAGACCGATAGACCGAAACGCTGATACCGTGATCCTGGCAGATTAGTTCCCTTATTCTAGAACTAGAATTATCAACTCACAACAAGCTTATGACCTTATTTTGTCTTAATAAGGTCGACCAAGATATTTGCACTAAAAACGGGACGAAAATATTTAGTTTCCCCATGCAGTGCAGATACTGTATTAGGTCAAATAAAACACATTTTCCACTGTATTTTCCATCTAATTTTGCCCAGCAGAATAACTGGAGTTTTCCTGGACTGCTGAGCATTTTCACATTGAATAAAATCTTAAGGTTGGAGTAAATTCCCACAGTTCGGCGGATCCTGAGCATAATTAAAATGCTGGAAACCAACCGGTGCCTCAAGGCTCTTAGTAGAGCTCATGGAGCCCTCAGCAGATTTTGTTGGGCGATTATAAAATATTTGTCAACTTATTTGAAATTTCTCTATCAATGAAAGAATGAATTGAGTATTTTCTCATCACCTGTTCTCCAAATAACTGGGTGAATAGAAGAAGCATTGACCAGAAAAACATTTCCGATTCTCACAGATTGTTGATTCATACTCTTGTTAAACTTGCATATCATTTCTCCACAGCAAAAAGTAATATTCCATAAGCCAAGAGTGACTTGCAACAATTATTAGAACAATTTCCAAGTTGTTCATGGAAGTAAACCGTATTCAGATTAATTTGCAGCGCTGTGTGAAAGTGTTTTGTCTTATAAATTTCTTCTGCTTTTGCTTTTTTTGCACTTAAATATTCCTGATTAGCAACAAAAATTCAAAAGCCAGCAGAATATGACGTAATATTGAGGACACATGAAGAAAGTAAAGTAAAATTGAATGAAAAATAAGTTGAAATAATACAAGAAAAAAGTTTGAATACTTAAAACCTGCTTATTCTGCTTAATGTAATTTCTGTAATTGTTTTTGATACTGTATATTGATATACGCCTTTTATTGTTTTGCAGTTTTAGTTTTATCGTTTTTCTCTTTTCTTCTCTACCAAAAACTGAACGATAATTTTGCATATTTGAAATGTCTCCCAGTTCCAGTGTTAAATGTTAATTACATTTTAACATTTTCAGAAAGTGTGCCATTAACGTAACATCAGTTACCATCAATATGATCATTTATCGCAGTAACATCTGAGACAATTTATCATCCAGCTAAATTTATTGACAGGGATCAATAAAGTATTTTTTAATTTGAATGGTCATGTTAAAAAAATATTTTAAAAAAGGAGCTAATTGGTCACAATGGGTCCAATGGGTTCAGTATTTTCAATCAGTCTCTAATAACTTGGTTAAAAACAGGAGGTATTACGGTTTATTTTGCTATGATGAGGAGGAGGAAGAAGCAGCTTTCCCTCCGAGTTAAGGTGGTCTGCTGTGTTGCTCTGCTTCTCAGTAGCCAATTTAAGATGACTGACAGACACGTTTCCCTGTAAACCTTTCCCTCCAAAACAATCCTTTTCCCTCCCTTTAGTCAATCAACACACACTTCTACAGCAGGAAGTCCAACGTTGTCAATCTACACCGCAACCCCTCTGGATGACTAACGACACACTTTAGGTCCTCTGCGGTTTCTTCCCATAACTTAAGACTTTACACTTTTCAGAATCCAATCTTAGCCTCGTGTTTTAATCTTGAATTTCCTTTCAGAAGAGCCCATTCAGCCTCCTTCCCTTTTTGTTCTGATCTCTCATTTTTGACAGCTAATGTAGCACCTTTAATGGCAGCCATCGTCTCATTAAATACCTGCAGGTGTTCAAGGCTCAAAAGGAAGATGGAGAGCGCGCCGCTGGCGGCGTTTAGGCCTCCTTCTGCATGACATACAGCCGATTCCCGGCGCTAAATTTGAATATTAATGTCTCTGGAGGAAACCGAGCTGGTCACAGGGGCCGGGGGTCACGAGGAGAGGTTGCTTTGCCAACGACACAAACTGAAAGGGGGAGAAATGATGACAGATGCCAAAGTGGGAGGGGAGGAAAGCAGGGAAGCAGAGCAGGGGGAAAAAGAGGAGGAAAAAAGTAAGAAACTGATGGAAATGATGTTCAAAGTGGGACATAAAAGGAAATCTAGAAAGAGGAGAAGGAGAGCGGGTTTGAATGAGAGATAAGATGGCGTGGAAAGAGAGGATGAGATAAGAGAAGAGAAAAGAGAGGGAGATCTGGGCTCTGGGGTGACGGGGCTCTCAGATGCAGGAAGGGACCATCTGGACGAAAGCGCAGCCAGATTTCCGACAGTAAACACTGGGCATCACTTTCTCATGGAGTCGGCCCAGGAACGGGGATTCAAACGCCCGCTCCACACTTTCCTAACACCAGCCACTCGCCGCAGCCCACCCAGAAATTAAATCTGCCAAGCATCCTGCCCATGTGTTGGTGTGAAAACACAACCAGACCTCAGTACTGGCAGCTACAGGGCTGTGCAACGCAACATCCCACTCCCAGATTGGCCTTTTTATTCACCACCAGGCCTTCCAGGACCAGTTTCACCCAATTTCAAAACATTGCTGCCTCTCAGTGTATCAATAAACACTTCTGTCAGATCATGAGGGCCCATTGTTCCCACTGTATACACAAACATAGCAGTCGAATGCGTAAAAGAGACTTATTATCCTTCCATGAACAGGTTAGAACAGAGCTGTGGTCTATACAAAACACCTTCATCACATCCTCTGCACAACATCCTTTCAAGTAATGAGATTTTAGTCAGAATGAGCTCTTGTCTATTTAAATCCAAATAATAAAATGGCTGCAAACAAATGCACAATCATACAACTACACATCTTTGAAAAGCAGAAATCGAGCCTCATGCACAACCAACTGGAAAGCAGCAAGTGGTTTCTGATTCATAAGTCAACAACAAAACACTTTTCTTTTCCAGCAGCCATTTTACAGCATAGACACCAGTAAGACCAGCTGACCAAACGTGATAGAACTCCGCTCAGGTTGCCAGGTAACTTGCGGAACTCCGCTCAGGTTGCCAGGTAACTTGCGGAACTCCGCTCAGGTTGCCAGGTAACTTGCGGTCAAGTTGTTTCTAGAAACAGTAGTAACATGCAAAATGTAATTAAAATTTTTTTTTTCTGAAAAACATTTTAATGGAAATTTATGTGATACGTAGAACAAAGCAACACTTGACAGAGTAGTGAGAAGAAAGATAAAGTGCACTGACTTTTCAAGTCAATAATTTGTCAAAACATCTTTCATTTTTCCCCATTTTATTAGTTTAAGTGTTTTGTTCCACCAGCACATTAGAACTAGAACATTTTCAACCATTTTAAGAAATAACTGACTTAAAACAAGCTCCTGTTTCTTGCTGAAAAGTTACTTTTGAGTTAGTTTTGTCTTATCAAAGTTTCCTTATATCTATATATTTGCATTGGAAAACAAACCAAAAATACTTGGTAATATGTTGTGTTTTTATATTAAATCAGTTTTTTTTTGTTTTTCTTGTTGCCACTCTTCCATAAAGCACAAAACAGTTGCATTTAAAATTTAAAGTGAGTTTAGATTATACACATGTAGATATTCTTCTAGAGGTGATTTTTATTGAATTTTGTTCAGATTTAAGGAGGCTTTGAATTTTTATCAATAAAAAAAAAATTTATTGTCCTTCAACTTTATGACAATGCATTACTTTGTTGTGCTATAAAATCTACACTGAGGTTTGTAGCTGTCATAAAACAATGCGAAAGGATTCAAATATGAATACTTTGGCTTTTAAGAAGCAGCTTTACCTCCTTCCTCTGAGGAAATTGAGATAATCCTCTGCAAAAATCGTCCAAAAAAATATGTCCCAAGGAGACACACCTACATCTTTCTCACCCGCAGGG